CCCCTGCTTCGTGGACACCACCGCGTCTGCAGAGGTAGAGCACAAGTTAAGCTGAATCCTGGTCGGCACCCTCTCGCACCAATCATTATACTTCTTCGAAGCACGAGCCCTCTTGACCTTGTTGCCAGCACCTTTCACAAGCGGTTCACTACCAAAACATATTCGGCCTAGCTGGAGGACGTTCGCCCGCGCAATGACGCCAATGGACCAATGCCTCCTGCTGTCGCACGTTGCCTCTAGCTCCTGTCGGCATCCACCCAAAGGTAGGGCACTTGAGGCGCGACCCCCGTCCCTGAGGCAAGTCGATCTCGGCCAACTCATTCCCCTCGGGCGCGTCATCCTCCTCTGGATGTCAACGAAAATTTCGCGCCTTCTTTGATGCATTGCGAAACGATTTCGACTTCGGCGTATCCATGATACCCATGAAATATCCGGCCTCATCCTAGGCATTCCTTGCGTTGTCCGAACGAGCGGACACAGACTTCGCCCGCCACCGCCCCTCATGCAATGGGTCCCGCCGCCCGCAAAGGACGTCGGGGCATGGCAGCGCGCGCTCCTTTCACTACTGCAACGTGGCCTTCGGCACCTCCATCGTCGGCACCAGGCTGCGGTAGCGCTTGTCCTTCAACGTCAGCCAAACGAACGGGCGCTTGAACGATTCCGCCCTTGGTGTAGGCGGTGTATACAATACCCATCTCTCATTCGTCGAATTTACTTCCAGATGTAGATGTCCGCTTTGGCTGCCGTCGCCGCCGCCTTGACCGCCGCGGTGTTGGCCAATGTGCCTGCCTTCGCCATGTTCTCCGCCATGGACGTCGACGTGCCGTACTTCTGCGCATTGCGCTTCAGCTCCCCTGCCACCAGCGGGCGTAGCTGCGCTTGTAGTTTTCCACCAGTCTTGTCGTCACCTGGGGCCAGTTTCTTAGGCTTGCCACTGTCGGCATGAATCGACATGCTCACACATACCAAAAAAATCTCCTTATTTGTCAGCTTCAGTAAACCACTCTGCCCACGGAGGTTTCACTTCCCTCCGTGCACGCTGTGGTGGGGGACCTGCAGCACTTCCAGCAGGAGCAGGTCGGCGCTGTTGTGACTGAGCATTGCTCTCATCCTCAACCTCGTCAGCATCCTCAACTTCGACAGGCTGGTCAACTGGATCCGAGGAGACATCCTGCTCGACCTCCTGCAGCTTCGCCTCCAGCCCTGCCAACGGCTGGACTGTCGCCCATGCATTCTTGGGTTTGCCTGTGGGTTCCTTCTTTTTGTCGGGCGTCGCATTGTGCGCAAAAAATACAGTGATACCCCAAGACCACAGGCACGAAAATACCAGCGGTGAAGACCAGCACGTTGGATACGCAATATGCTCGTGAACTCCCGATCCTTGGCCCACGTTTCAAGATCTGAGTCGATGCTCCAGCTATCGGGCGTCTTGACCGCACACCACCGAAGTAGTGTGTCTGACGCCAAAGCCCCTTCAGCCAGAACTCCCAGCGACGAGTCGTCCGAGGGCCTGTAGCACAACCTACCCTTGCCTCCCGTCGCTGTCGTCAGGACACGTTTGAAATAGCCCTCTGGGGACTCTTCTTCTCTCTGCTTGAACCACTTCGGCACCATCTTGGAGCCCTGCTGATTGAGAAACACACCCCTTGGTCATGGAATATCGAGGAACTTATGCGCATCCGAGCCGTTCACAATGATAAGACACGTGATCTCGGACTCATAGTGGAGCGCTCCCTTGGTCTTGAGGACCAACTTGTGGAGCTCAACGTTCACGATGGGGGCTGCCGACGCAATCGGGCGCTGGGCCACTCGGGCATACAAATCATCAGCCGCGAAATCTCGAGCAACCGTGAGACGAAACTGGGCCGTCGTCGTCGGTGTCGTCGGAGTCGTGATGGCTTCATCATCCTTCATCCCCTCAGGGAGGCCCACACGAGACGGAGCCTGTCTGCCAAGCTTCACCTCGAGGCAGCGCTGGGTCTCAGCACCTTTGCCTCCAGAGGAGGCCTCCACCATGATGTCGGTCTTGCTACCCTCATTACATAGGACAGCCGTTGCGTTGAAGACAAGGATGGTGGCCGAACGGTCCTCTCCTCCGAGGGCGTCCAGCCAGTTCCTCGTGTCGTGGTACTCTTTGTTGTTCTGGCACACGATCAGCGGCGGCTTCTCATCTCAGTGTGTCGCGGCGGCGGCCCCGACGACACGCTATGTCCTGCGAAGGCATAGCGTGTCGCTTCGCTCTGCGAGGTGGGAGGCTGGGAAAGGCTCGGGACGCCGACGCTCGGGGACCAGGGGCCTGGTCAGCTTGCCGCGCCGAAGCGTGGTGGGACAGAACCGGCGGCGCGACACGCTGAACAAAAGCTCCTGACCGAAGGGCCCAGCGCAGCCTACGCCCCCGCGCCAACCCTTGGACAGGGGTCTGCCACCTGGCGTCGAGTACGGGGGCTCGAGGAGTGCCCGCTCCAGCGGGACACATGCCGACAGCGGGAGCTTCTGTGTGCCTCTCTCCCTCTCTCGCTGGAGGCGCCCGCGGGCCCCAGGGGAGTGCGCCCGAGGGGAAGAAGAGGAGGAGAGGGAGGCGGCAGGCCTGAGCTGGGGCCCCAGGGGAGTGCGCCCGAGGGGAAGAAGAGGAGGAGGAGGAGGAGGAGGAGGAGGAGGAGAGGGAGGCGGCAGGCCTGAGCTGGGCCGAAATCTCGAAATCAGATCGGGACCGAAAAGGGTCGGATCGCCAGCAAGTCGTCCCGAATCGAAGCGACAGCGGCTCGGATCGCCGCGCCCCGCTCCCGCTCGCCCTGACCGACGCCAGAGAATCGAACCGAATTCCATCGACTCGGAATCGGGACCACAGCGGGCGAAACGAGATGTACCGAATCGGATCGTGGGCGGCTCTGGGAGGGAGCGGGGAGAGGGCTGTCTAGCGCTCAAGACGTCCCAAGAGGCCTCCAAGAACCTTCCCAAGAGGGCCCCGAGCTGCCAAAATCAGAGGGCTCGTCCCCTTTGGTTTCTCGTGTTTGTTGGGTTCTTCACTTGTCGAGCTTCCGACGCTCCAAGACGTCCCAAGAGGCCCCCACGAGGCGGGGCCTAGGCGCGTACCTGCCTCTGCGTGCGTCGGTCGCACGCCGACAATGTTTCCTCTCGGCAGTGCGCCTCGCACTCCGATGGAATTCAACAGGCAAGCAGCCTCGAGAACTGCGTACAGGTTCCTCATGCTCGTGCCGTGGACGAAATTCCTTCGCTGCTCGTGCCCTGTTTAGGCGTCAGTATACCTTTCTTCGGACTCCTTCCCCCCCGAGACGGAGAACTAGGTGCTGGCGGTAAACCGTCAACCTTGGTTACCGCCAGAAAAGGGAGTGCAGAATTCGCCCGCCCCCAGTCTGTGCAAAAAGCGTAGATCCACATTAATTCAGTTTCTGACAAGATAGCTGCGTACACGATTTAGCGCATGCGGGATGGGCGGGATTGCAGCAGCACTTCCCCAGCTCCGCAGCCATATGTCTCAGAGGGTCCAAAGAGGGCCGTGCTATCAGCACACTGCGAACTGTACACCAGCGTGGAGTCCAGGGAAAAAGACATTCGGAGGAGGGAACGGGCGGACGATACGGCGGTGACGGCGGTGACGGCGATGACAATGAAGACAAGGAGGGGACACAGGGGGGAGGAAGGGGAAGACGAGGAGGAGGAGACGAGCGTGCCAGCAGAAGGAGGAGCGGTGAAGGAGGAAACGAGGAGAGGAGGAGTGGTCAAAAAGGAAGGATGGTGACCACTGCTTTGACGCAACTTGAATTCCGCTGTTCAAGTCGAGGAGGGGGTGATCTTGCGAAGATGAAAATTGTGAGAGGACGAGGGGGAAGAGGACGAGAATAATGATAAGGCAGAGGATGAGCAGCAGCAGCAGCACCAGAGCAGGATGAGCGGCGACAGCAGGAGCAGAAGGACCCCAGAAGAAGCAGCACATGCAGGAGGGGAGGAGCAGAGCGGCAGCAGGAGCAGCAGATGCAGGAGAAGGATCCGATGGAGAGGAGCGGCCGAGGCGATCGGCCGTGGAAAAAGGAGGACGCCAACGACCACGGGGAGGAGACGACGAGCAGCAGCAGAGGGCCCCCACGGCTCAGCAGGCCTCCGCCTGCGCCGTCGCCGCCGTCACCGCCGCCGCCTGGCTTTCAGGTCGCAGCTCGGGCCTCCAGCAGCCGCTCGGAACGATCTGGGCACCCCTGGAGCGCTCTCGGCGGTGCGCAGCTGCTGGAGTGCACCCCGAGGCTGGAAGTCCGCCGAGACCCGCCGAAGACGCCCGAATACTTTCGAAGCCCCAGATGTCCTCCGACATGTCTTCTGCACTCCGCAGCCCCAGACCTCTCGGCCCCCGGATCCGTCTTCGATGGGCCCGGGCCCGATAGCAGGGTCCCAGAGGCCGAGGTCGAAGAGGATGCCGGGATTGCCCGAATCACTCACGGGGGAGGAGGCGGCCCCAATCCCCGACTCTCTGCAGGGACCTCGAATGATCAAAAAATTTGGGGCCTAACTCGGGGATGTACGAAGGGGGGGTGTTCCATCCTCGACAGGGGTGCGTCCCCGAATAGCCCCCCAGGAGTGTGTCCCTGAGCCTCCCCCCCTCTCTGAGCAGCCAAACTTTTCGGGCGGAACTCGGGGATTGGGGTCAATGCATCTTTGGGGGACTTCGTCTGCCCCATGGCGCCAGCCATCCGTGTCGCATCCATGTCGGATCCATGCCGAGCGCGCCGAATCCATGTCGAACCCATGTCACAAACCCGTGCCGAATCAACGTCGACCCACCGTCGAACCCCACGTCCGAGCACAAGTGCAGACCGCCCCTTGCAGGACAGGACGAGCCCCCCTGAGCTGCGAAGCAATGGCTTCGCCCGCGGATCGCCCCGTGGGAGCCCCGAGGAGCCGTCGCCGCCGCCGCCCTCGCGGGGCGAAGCGCGCCGGGCCACGCCGGGCGTGAGGCTCCGCGCTGCCGGGGCCGGGTCCGAGCGCGCGGCGCTCATGGGCGGCAGCGCGTCCCAGCGCTCGTCGCGCAGGATAAGGCGCTCCACCGTGGGCAGCGGGCTGCCCAGCACGGTGTGGCCGCCGAAGATGTGGACGGACGGAGGCAGCCTTGCTTCCCAGGGATCCTGGCATCTCGACATTTGTTCGCCCAGCTTCGGGCCGCGAGGCCCTCGCAGATCGATCCGGCTTGAGAAATGCTGTAGTAAGATGGAGATCGGGGCTCAGGTCGTGATTTGTTCGAAGTTGCATCCCTTTCGCGTCGTCGGATCTCAGGGTTACTGCCAGAGGGAGGGGGTCGAACGGGGTCATGAACTATCCCTGGGCGCGTGCCTGAAGTGAGGTTCTGCGGTGCGGCTTGTTGTTGTTGCTGTTGTTGTTATTGCTGGTGTTGTTATTGTCGGTGTTGCTGCTGCTGCTGTTGTTGGTGGCGGTGGTGTTGTTGTTGCTGTTGCTGCTGTTGTTGTTGATGCTGGTTGTTGTTGTTGTTGTTGGTGGTGGTGGTGTTGTTGTTGCTGTTGCTGTTGTTGCTGCTGCTGTTGCTGTTGTTGGTGGTGGTGGTGTTGCTGTTGCTGTTGTTGTTGCTGCTGCTGTTGTTGGTGATGGTGGTGGTGTTGTTGCTGTTGTTGTTTGTTGTTGTTTGTTGCTTGTTGATGTCTGTTGTTCGTTGTTGTCGTCGTCCCCCCCCGCGACTCGGCCCGCGACCCACTCGGGAACTACCCGCGACCCACCCACGACCCACCGGCGACCCGGCCCACGACCCACCCGCGACCCACCTGCGACCCGCCCCGCGACCCACCAACATTGCTGTAACGAAAAAATCGGCGCCTGCGGCGTATAAAAAGTTGGCGCCTGCGGGGGGCTTCTTCAGAGCCTCGCAGACTGCCGAAGTCCCCGCCGTCCACTCACTCTTATCTGCAACTGCGGGGTGCTACGTACGATATTTGTTCTGAGGAGGACGACGAAGAGGAGGAGTAGACCGAGGGCAAGACACAATCACACGACAAATGCCCCAAGCACGACAACACTCACACGAAGCAGGCAGACGTTGCTCTATACGACCGAAAACAAAGCTGGTTGGGCCTGCTAGGGTGTGTACAGTCAAGACGCTGACACCAGGCCCGCTTTGGGCTCGAGGGGAGCTCTGGTTTTCGGGCCGTTCCTGAAATCCAGGCGGGGGAACCTCCCAACGCCCCAAGCACGGTGTGGCCTTCGAATCTGTAAACGGACGGGGGCAGCCTTCCCAGATGTGCTCGCGTCGTGAAAAAAAAGCGGCGGGAGAGTTTTGCCCGTTGTCGGCCTCTGGGGGCCGTTGCCCAGCCTCGGGGCCGTTAAGAACAGACAGCTCGGGATGAAAAAATAGCCCTGGGGGAAGAGTCCTGACTTCCAGCGACGGCGTCTTCAAAAAATTATCCTGGCGAAGGACCTAACCATATGCAGTTGTGGGTACCGCAAATGTGAGTATCTTCTTCGGTGAAGCTCCATATGGGGCCACGAAACGCTGCACTGGGTGGGGAGGAACGCATGCGGGCGGTAGCACTGGGGCCGTCGGTGGAGCTCCCTATGGGGCCACGATGGGCGGGGAGGCATGCGGGCGGCAGCACCGCGGCCGCCGGTGAGGCTCCCTAGGGGCCAAGAAGCGCTGTACTGGGTGGAAGGACGCATGCGGGCGGTAGTATTGGGGCCGTCGGTGGAGCTCCCTATGGGGCCACGAAGCGCTGCACTGGGTGTGGGGGGAATTCCCTACGGTAGCGCTGGGACCGTCGGTGGATCTCCTTATGGGGCCACGGAACGCTGTACTGGGTGGGGGGACGCATGCGGGCAGTAGCATTGGGGCCGTCGTTGGAGCTCCCGTGTCCCGCTGGTGTCCCGCTGGTGTCCCGCCAGTGTCCCGTCGTGGCTGGGCCGCGGCCGGACCAAAAGGTTCTCCGCCCAGCAACCGGTGGCGCGCGGTGTCCCGCCGGTGTCCCGCCGGTGTCCCGTCGCTGTCCCGTGGTGTCCCGTGGTGAGATCGACAGTGAGATCGATAGTGAGATCGATAGTGAGATCGATTATGAGACCGATAGTGAGATCGATAGTGAGATCGATCGAGTGGGATCGATAGCGAGATCGATAGTGGGATCGATAGTGGGATGGATAGTGAGATCGACAGTGAGATTGATTGTGTCCCGTCGGTGTCCCATCGGTGTCCCGTGGTTTCACGTGCTAAGATCGATAATGATATCGATAATGATATCTGTAGTTAGATCGATGAGACCGATAGTGAGAACGATACTGATATCGATAGGATGATCGATACTGAGATCGACTGTCAGATCAATAGTGAAATCGATATTGAGGCTATTAATACCAAGGCTCTTAACACCAAGGCTCTCAAGAATGAAGGGTCCCATGAACCATCTCGGGCAACTTTCCTCCTCCTCCTTATTCTCCTCCTCCTCCTCCTCCTCCTCCTCCTCCTCCTCCTCCTCGCGGCTCGAGGTGCACTGGGGGGCACCAGCCGGGGCACGTTCCGATGCTCGACCGCGCGGGGCCGGAAAAGCAGCAAGCGTGCGCCATCCCCGAAAGGCTCCCAAGAGCCCCCCAAGAAGCCCCCAAGAGCCCCCCAAGAAGTCCAAAAGACGCGCCCAAACGGCCCCCAAACCTTGCAAAATGAACGAAATAATGTACTATTTCTTTGGCTCCCGGGGGAGGGGGGGAATGGTACCAAGGCGCCCAAGAGCGAAAGGTGACGTAAACAACTCGACACCAAGGCTCCCAAGAGCGAGCGGCAACGCAACGATCTCCACTGGCATCGTCAGAACAACAATCACAACTGTTGGCCATTGCTGGCCCCCTCCCCTCCCAACCTGCTTATAACCCGCAAAGTGGTCGTATAGGTAGGGATATCTCTTGGCCCGCGGGGGCAAACAATGATCCACCTCCACCGCCTTAAGGGGTCCGCGAAAATCGATCCCCCACGCGGAGGTCATGTCATGTATAGCTTCCCGCGTCGAAGCTCTCACGCGTAGCCGACAGTTCCCAGAGGGGGCCTCGCCACCAGCGACGGCAGCGTGGAGCGCATCCCCGCGCCGTGGCTCCGCGACGCGGCGGTGAGCAGACGGGCGGAGGCCACGCCCAGCGCGGAGCCGATGGAGAGCAGCAGCCCGGGCACCTTCTGCGAGAGCGCCGCTCTCTGCGCCGCGAGAGGCGCTGCTGCACATACTCTCTGGTCGTCGCGGCCCAGCGACACACGGGATCAGGCTGCGCCCTCGCGGTCTGGAGTCTGGGGCGCGATCGCGCGGATACGCGGTCGCACGGATACGTTACGCGCGGGGCATCGGCTAAACAATGTCCCGTGTCCACGGGGTCATGGAAAATGCTCTTGGCCACGCGTGGCCTCCCTGGCTTCTGGGCGTGAAGACACGGGAGCAGGCGGCCCCCGGGAAGGAACACCGAGGTGCGGGGGCTCGGACCCCGCAGGCCGGATGCGCCCCGCCGCGCAGTGGCCTGACGCCCGGCATATGGGGGTGCCCCATCCGAGGCGTTGCTGCACACACACACACAAGAAGGAGGGCATCGAGTCTCGAGTTGGCCCAGGTCACACGCGGGGCTCCAGTGCAGTACGAGGAGACGACGACGACAACAGCAACAACCACAACAACAACAGTCTTTTTAAGGCTGTTGGCTCTTATCTGCTCGAGTGTCCGTTGACGCGTATTTCCCAAACCCTCGATACCCGCCCTTCTCGTCATCGATCGTACCCCCTTTGGGGGGTATACCTTGCTTCCCTGCAGGCCGGGCCCCGGCAAGCGGCGGGGCGGCCGCGGACCGTCGGCCTGGCCAGCGGCAGCGCTAATCGACGGCAATCCGACCCCAAGAGGGACGGACAGGGGACCGACCACGACGACGACGACGACGACGACGACGACGACGACGACGACGACGACGACGACGACGACAGCAGGGCCACGAAAGGCACGAAGTAGGCCACGGACGGCGACAGCGAGGACACGAAGGGAATGCGTACGGGGCCACGAAGAGCGCGAACGAGCGGGGGCCACGAAAGGCAGATAATGCGGGGCAACAGAAGGCAACGACGGGGCCATTGAGGGTAGCAACTGGGCCACGTAGGACAACGAGGGGGCCACGAAAGGCGACAGCGGGGCCACGAAGGGCATGCGCATGGGGCCACGACGGGCGCGAACGAGCGGGGGCCACGAAGGGGATACGTATATTGGGCCGCGGAGGGCAAAGGCATGCATATGGGGCCATGACGGGCGCGAACAAGCGGGGGCCACGCAGTGCATACATATATGGGGCCACGAAGGGCAGCGAGGGGGCCACGAAGGGCTGCAACAGGGCCACGAAGAGCTGCAACGGGGCCACGAAGGGCAGCGAGGGGGCCACGAAGGGCAGCGAGGGGGCCACGAAAGGCTGCAACGGGGCCACGAAGGGCAGCGAGGGGGCCACGAAGGGCTGCAACGGGGCCACGAAGGGCAGCGAGGGGTCCACGAAAGGCTGCAACCGGGCCACGAAGGGCAGCAAAGGGGCCACGAAGGGCTGCAACCGGGCCACGAAGGGCAGCGAGGGGGCCACGAAGGGCTGCAACGGGGCCACGAAGGGCACTTAGGGGGCCACGAAGGGCAGCGAGGGGGCCACGAAGGGCAGCGAGGGGGCCACGAAGGGCTGCAACGGGGCCACGAAGGGCAGCGAGGGGGCCACGAAGGGCTGCAACGGGTCCAAGAATGGCAGCGAGGGGGCCACGAAGGGCTGCAACGGGGCCATGAAGGGCAGCGAGATCCCGATTCCTGAATCATTTGCGACGGAATCCTAAGCGTGAGCGCGACTCCTGGGTGCGTGAGTGTCGGGAGCGCGGCGCTTGAGTAAATTGTGGGTAAGTCCAATTGCAATCAAGTCCCCAGCGAGAGCGCCACTCCAGTGTGCCGATAGAGCGATTCCTGAATAAATTGTAAGGAAGTCCCAAGCGAGAGCGCGATTCCAGAATCAAATGCGAGGAAATCTCAGGCGGGATCGGCGGTCCTTGCTAAATTGTAACGAAATCTAAAGCGGGAGCCGTTGCTAATGTCACCCAGGGGCCAAGGGCATAATTTGAGCCTCAAGATTTTCCCTGATCAAAAACCGGGTGCGAGCGCTGGGAGGGCACTTCAATTGAAAAATACAATGTGCACCAGAGGGGGGATCAGCAATACATATTCTTCAGTAGTGAGAGCTCAACAACAACAGCAGCAGCAACAACAACAACAACAGCAACAGCAACAGCAACAACAACAACAACAACAACAACAATCAGTTTAAGACTGTTCGCCCTTACCTGCTCGAGTGTCCAATAACGCGTATTTCCCAAACCCTCGATACCCGCCCTCTCCGTCTTCGATCGAACCCCTTTTGGGGGGTAGACCTTCCTTCCCTGCAGGCGGGGCCCCGGCAAGCGGCGGGGCGGCCGCGGACCGTCGGCCTGGCCACCGGCAGCATTGATCGGCGGGGCGGCCGCGGACCGTCGACCCGACTCCCAGAGGGAGGGACAGGGGACCGACCACGACGAGGACGACGACGACGACGTCGACGACGACGGCGACGACGACGACGACGACGGCGACGACGACGACGAGCGAAAGCGAGAGCGAGAGAGAACGACAGCAGGGCCACGAAGGACACGAAGTAGGCCACGAAGGGCGACAGCGGGGACACGAAGGGAATGCGTATGGGGCCACGACGAACGCGAGGGGCCACGAAAGGCAGATAATGCGGGGCCACAGAAGGCAACGATGGGGCCAGTGGAGGTAGCAATTGGGCCACGTAGGACAGTGAGGGGGCCACACACGGCGACAGCAGGGCCACGAAGGGCATGCACATGCGGCCAAAATTGGCGCGAACGAGCGGGGGCCACGAAGGGCATACGTATATTGGGTCGCGGAGGGCAAGAACGGGGCCACTGAGGGCAGCAACGGGGCCACGAAGGGCTGCAACCGGGCCACGAAGGGCAGCGAGGGGGCCACGAATATGGGGCAACCACAGGCGCGAACGAGCGGAGGCCACGAAGGGCATACATATATGGGGCCACGAAGGGCAGCGAGGGGGCCACGAAGGGCTGCAACAGGGCCACGAAGAGCTGCAACGGGGCCACGAAGGGCAGCGAGGGGGCCACGAAGGGCAGCGAGGGGGCCACGAAAGGCTGCAACGGGGCCACGAAGGGCAGCGAGGGGGCCACGAAGGGCAGCGAGGGGGCCACGAAGGGCTGCAACGGGGCCACGAAGGGCAGCGAGGGGGCCACGAAGGGCTGCAACGGGGCCACGAAGGGCACTTAGGGGGCCACGAAGGGCAGCGAGGGGGCCACGAAGGGCAGCAAGGGGCCACGAAACAAAGCGAGGGGGCCACGAAGGGCTGCAGCGGGGCCACGAAGGGCAGCGAGGAGGCCACGAGAGGCTGCAACGGGGCCACGAAGGGCAGCGAGGGGGCCACGAAGGGCTGCAGCGGGGCCACGAAACAAAGCGAGGGGGTCACGAAGGGCTGCAACGGGGTCACGAAGGGCAGCGAGATCCTAGGTAATCTGCGAGGGAATCCTAAGCGTGAGCGCGACTCCTGGGTGCCTGGGTGTCGGAAGCGCGGCGCTTGAGCAAATTGCAAGAAAGTCCAACGCAAGGGCGCTATTCTATTGTAAATTGCAAGCAAGTCTCCAACGAAAGCGCGACTCCACAGCGCCGGGAGAGCGATTCCTGAATAAATTGTAAGGAAGTCCCATGCGAGAGCGCGATTCCGGAATAAAATGCGATGAAGTCTCCGGCGGGAGCGGGGGTCCTGGCTAGATTGTGCGGAAGTCTCAAGCGGGAGCCGTTTTTGTTGTAGTCTGGGGGGCAGGGGGCCACTTTGAGCAGGAAGACTTTCTTTGACAAAAAACAGAAGGCGAGCGCCGGGGGGGGGCACTTCAATTGGAAAAATCAATATGCACCAGTGGGGGGATCAACAATAATTACTCAAGAATGAGAGTTCAACAACAACAACAACAACAACAACAACAACAACAACAACAATTACTAGCACGTGGGGACACTCCGTTCTCACCAGTGCCAGGGTTTTCATAGGAGGCGGGCAATACCCCCACTTTGTGGGGGGGCCGGTTCAAGCTCTACCAAATTTCCAAACGACTCTTCGCCACCACCCACACCCAGCTTCCCGCCCTATGACGTTCGGACACTTCACTTCGTGGCATGCGGACGACCGTGGCTACTATTCAGGGCCCCGCGGCCGACGACGACGGCGTGCGCGCGCGAAGAAAAAACGAATGTGTCCCGCATGGTATTATTTGACAGGGATGATGGCCCTGGCAGGTGCGCAACCGTTGTCGCAGAAGTTCGAAAAAGTTGCTCGCAAAAGCCCGTTTGACAGAAATGTTTAAAAAGTGTTGGGTTTCCTACGAATCCGCAAGAGCGCGCGGGATGAGATTTTGACAATTTTTTGTTGAAAAACCATTGGTTTTTTGATGTTTTTATGTTAAAATCGCTGCGAACACTAAGGTTTTGGAAGGATTTCGTCTTGCGCGCGCGAATGTCCACTTTACCTTATTTTTTGCAAGGGATTCTTGAAATTTGATTATATTAGAACAAGAAATGTCATTTTCTATTGTTTTTTGCAAGGGAAAGCGGATTACAACAAAACAACCGGATCCTGTACACACCCTCTTTTCTGAGGCTTCCTCACGAAAATGATGAAAATGTAGCTGCGGCCTAGGCGGCGCAGGGGGGGCGCGCACCAGGGGGCCCAACAATAATTATTCTTTAGAATAAATAATGTTCAACAACAACAACAACAACAACAACAACAATTACTAGCACGTGGGGACACTCCGTTCTCACCAGTGCCAGGGTTTTCATAGGAGGCGGGCAATACCCCCACTTTGTGGGGGGGCCGGTTCAAGCTCTACCAAATTTCCAAACGACTCTTCGCCACCACCCACACCCAGCTTCCCGCCCTATGACGTTCGGACACTTCACTTCGTGGCATGCGGACGACCGTGGCTACTATTCAGGGCCCCGCGGCCGACGACGACGGCGTGCGCGCGCGAAGAAAAAACGAATGTGTCCCGCATGGTATTATTTGACAGGGATGATGGCCCTGGCAGGTGCGCAACCGTTGTCGCAGAAGTTCGAAAAAGTT